AGGAAGAGGAAGAGGAAGAGGAAGAGGAAGAGGAAGAGGAAGAGGAAGAGGAAGAGGAAGAGGATGAGGGGGAGGAAGAGGAAGAGAAAGAGGAAGAGGAAGAGGAAGAGGAAGAGGAAGAGGAAGAAAAAAAACGGTGAGTACTACGTGAGCATTATATAAGTATATATGTATATGTATATGTATATATATATATATATATATATATATATATATATATATATATATATATATATATATATATATATATATGCATGCATGCATGCATGCATGTACGTACGTATGTATGTATGTATGTATGCATGTATATATGTATGTTTGTATGTAAGTATTTATATGTACACACACACACACACACACACACACACACACACACACACACACACACACACACACACACACACACACACACACACACACACACACACACACACAAATATATATCATATATCTATATCTATATCTATATCTATATATCTAATCTATATCTGTGTATCTGTTTAATCAGTCTAATCTGTCTAATCTGTATACCTGTTATTAACCTATGAGTCAGCCACTTACTTGTAGTTGGCCATTGTTGAGTATGGAGCACACACAGGAATGGCATACAAGAGTTCATCCTCTGCTACTGGCTGGGCTGTCAGCGCATTGACAATGTTCAGGTCATCAGCGATCTGTTAGGAAAATTATATAATATACATATTTATACACATTATTTTAATATACTTTCAAGTACAAAATATTCTCTCACTCTTACACTCACATACTTTTATACACATAAAACACAGACACACACACGCGCACACGCACACACACACTCACGCTCACGCTCACACACACTCACACTCACACGCACACCCACACTCACACTCTCTCTCTTCCTTCACCTGCGGGGTGTCCTCCTCTTCCTCCTCCTGATCTTCCTCCTTCTTCCCCTGTTCATCTTCTGGCTTTGGCTGAGCAGCTTCAGGTCGGGCTTGAGTCTCCGATGGCCGAGGTTTGGGTCCCTTTCCTTTCCCTTCCTTCACATCCTTTTTGTTACCCTTAGCCTTCTTTGATTCTTTGGCATTTCCCATCGACTGGAAGTGTAGGAATGGGGTTTAATATAGAAGTAAACATTGACTTCAATTTGTCATTATAAAATACATTTTTACATGGGATTATACATATATATTTTTTTTATTAATTTACAAATACTGAGGAGGAAATACTTACAGAGAAAGAACTTACCTAAATTAAGAATGAAAAAGAAAAGAGCAAAAACAAATATGTTCGTTGATTCCTACACTTCCCCTCCTCACCTGTAACAGCTGCATCCTCATCTCTCTCTCTTCCTCATCCTGATCACGATATTTGGCTTTGATTTTCTTCAGTTTCCCCTTCTGTCCTCTTTTGGGGGGACAACCTTTGCCATTGTCCGTTTCCTTCTGATGTTTCGCATTCTTGTTATTCTGCTGTGTGCTTGAGATAGAGTCTTGCCTGTTCTTTCCTTTCTTTCCTGCTATAGAAAAGAGGAGGTTTTAGCTTATGCATTCCCTTAGACTCATACAGATCTATACATGCCTACATCATCTCTACATCATATTCATATATAGCTCTCCCTTTCTCACTCTAGGTGTATGTCTGTCTCTTTGCATTTGTGCCTTAGTCTGTGCGTCTTTTAAGTCTATATCTCTCTCAGCATATTTATGTATTTTCTGGTGTATATTACTGTGTTTCTGATAATTAAAAGTGTAGATGAATATATTTGTTATTTTTTTTTCTTTTTTTCTTTCAAAAACAGTGTTAACAAATATTAACTATTATGGTATAAGCAAAGCATCAAGGTTTCCTACTCCACTGTTGCCTTCTAAATACCCTCTCAACCATCCCTCAATCTCCCTTTTAATTTCTAAATGACTTCATTTCTGCCTAACCTTTAGAATCCTTGCTAATACTATTGTTCTTGTTCCTGTTGACCTGCACAGGCTTGTCATCTCCCAAATACACCACTTTATCTTCCTCCTCTTCCCCTCCTCCTGTACTCGACTGGGAGATCTGCGATGTGGTTGAGACAGTCCTTGGACGCAGCGCAAATCTGGATGGAGAAGCTAAATAAGACATAGTACAATATTCTCCTTCAAATATATCCATTTTTCAATATACAATGCATAATAATTAACTAAAAATTGGCTAAGCCTATTATTCATCTACTTAACAAGATCAAGTACCTCATGAAAGCACTGGCCCAGAGCAGTAAATATGTCTTTCAGTCTGTCATGCACATGAAAAAAATTAATCAGTCAAGAGCATAAAACCAACAAAAATGCACACATGCATGTGTGCACACTCACTGATCTCCACCAATATGTGCAATCTCCACAACAGTATCCGGGAACTCAACGGACTGGTCTCTCTCTTCGTCCGATTTGTCTTTCCCGTCTTCATCATCGCCTTCTCCATCCGAGTCTTCTTCCTCCTGGTTTTCCTTCACTGAGACATTCTCATCCTCTACTAAAAGACATTAACAAAGTTCTTCAGAGACCATAATTAATACTGTGGTTTGGGTTGTCAACGTGCATGTTGCTTGTCATTAAAGCAATGGTGATGAAGCAATAATTCTGATAATAACCGCAAGAATAATGTCAAAATGAAAGAAACATACCAGTAGCATAATTTACTTACCTTTGAGTTCTTCATCTTCTTTCTCTTCATTTTCTTCTTTAATAATATTTTCCTGTTCCTCATCTTTGTCATCCAAATTCAGTTCTTCTTCTTCATTGATGGAGAGATTCTCAAGGCTTTCTTTAGCATCAGAATCCTCTTCCAATGATCTAATGCGCCTCTCACCAGCATGTCTATAAAATAAACCAGCAGATTGCTTAACCACAAAACCACTTAAAACAATTTTTCATAATTTTCAAGCATTAGTCTTAGTTACTAATTTTACCTTTACATATACACCTCTAGTTGTACCAGCCTACATCAGTATTATCATTAATAATTAAACAATCGATTCCATATCTGCATTTATTGTATAACATCTATCTATACATAAATACATGACTAAATATATAATATATATAATCACTATATATAAATACATGACCCTCCCCTCTTTTTCCTTCAGTCTTACATAATCAAAATTGGTACATATTTGTCTCTTCTGCCCTACTCTTTCTCCTCACTCTTTCATGAACAGTCTCTTTTCCGAGACAAAAAATGGAAAAAGTAAATATAATATTAATAAATGAACAAATGAAACTAATATATAGTAAAGGAAACATAATGCTAAAAAAAAATAAATAAATAAATAAATAAATAAATAAATAAATAAATAAATAAATTACCTTGCAACTGAGCTCTCCTCTAACCGGAAGAGGAAACCAAAGCCATACACAAGGTGCGACGGGGGGAGGAAGTTCTTCTTTCCACGGACCATAAAGGCACCAGTTGTAAGGTACTCTCCAGCCTGTGCCGTTTTGCTCACCTGGTCACCCCACACCCACCATGCTGACGTCACCACCTTCTCATCCCACGCACGGCTGGTGGGGCAAGTTAATATTTAATAGAAGAAGGAAATGGTTGTTTTCCCTCAAGTATATTTCGCTTGATTTTTCTGTATCCTTTAAAATGTCTCTCTGAAATTCATTCATTATTTCCTCCTACACTCTCCCACACACAAACATACATATACAAATTACACTTTTATTCTCACACACAGACACAGCGCCCATCCCTTTTCTCTTTAGTAAAGACACTATTTTCCCTTAATTCTGGGAACCACTCGGACTTTGTCCAGAGGGAGCACCATATCTTACTACCAAGTGTGGATTCTCCAAAAGTCGTTTCCTGATATATTGAACTATTAATCATTACACCTTCAATTATAAACATCTTCAAATGCCAACTCTCCAAGTGAGTGTAGTCCAAACTATTACCCTTCTTCACTTGTCTTCCTTCTTTACAGATTAATTTTCTCATATCTCTTCTTATCTTCCTTCCATCAACTCAGAGTACTCTTGAAGATGATGTCTACTTTACTTCTTGTCCACAACACCCAAAAAACAACAACAAAACACACATACACACACACACACCCACACATTCTGTTTGAATAGGTTTCAAAGTTTCAGTAAAGAAGAGAGAAATGTGTGGATAGTGCCCAAGTCCCACGAGTCAGCCATTAGCTCTCATATTACAAGATAATCTGAACTCTTTTAGGCAATTAAATGGCACTCCTTGCTGTTCTCTCTCTCTCTCTGGTTATGGTTATAATATCAAGGTTTAACACAGATCACATATATTACAAGCATAGAGATCTTCTTAATCCGTACATGCATAATTCCAAAACTTAAATAAATCTCCCCAGTAACAAAAAATAATACTATACTGGTTTCTTTGTTAAAATATCAATTATGCAACCTTAATATAATAAGTACCAGTAAAATATAACAGCACACCCTTTAATCCAGGAAAATGTATTGTGGGGGAAACAAAGAAAATTGATACATTACACTGTTTCCTAAATCTTAGTGTAATAAGATATACAAATAGAGAACTTTATCCAAAAATGATAAAATAAAGAATTATCTTTGAGAAAATAATGAAGTACTACTATCTTACATACCTTAAGACTAACTAAAACTGAGGTTTACATAAGAGGTAACATGCATAAAGACCAAGTAAGTGAGGTATACAAAGGATGGTTTACAAACAAATTTTTTGGGTCATTCAAATTTCACATCCCTTGTGCTCATTAGACACCTTTGGGGTTAGGGGAGACCAAAGATTTGTCAAAGAATAGGAACAAATTTATCACAATCATCAAATATACTACCCTTATCAGGAATCAATTCCAGGTCATCAGTCAACTGAGTGGGGACCTTTGGGAAGATGCTTACTCTTACAACCCCTTAACTTAAGGTCCTAGCAATCTGTTTTGTGCAAGTTGAATATATCTAAATATATAACAAAATAGACAAATAAACATAAAGACAGACTAGCATTCATACACAAGAATGTTCTCAATCTCAGATGTCCTCATCACCCATTCATAAGGAACAACGATCATCATCGATACTAACAGTTATTCTACTAACTAAACTAGGATTGATCAAAGTCACGTCCTATCCTGGCCAAGGTATAGGCCAATTCAAGGAATGGTGAAATTAGGTATGGTCACAAGGTCTACTAGCTGACTCCTTTGTGGCTAAGCACTAGCAGAGCCATCTATGTGCAGAGACAGTCTACAAAAATATGCAAAAAGAACACAACATTTTCCCAATTTTTTATTAATTTTCCCTGGTGGTATGTGGTTAAGACTAACTAAATTTCAGGCATACATAAGAGGTAACATGCATAAAGACCAAGTAAGTGAGGTATACAAAGGTTTATAGACAAATTTTTGGGCCATTCTAACTTCACATCCCTTGTTCTCATTACAACACAAGTCTCACACCTGTAACAGAGGGCCATGATTCCTGCTTCATGAAGGGTTTTTGGGGGGGGCTCCTTGCCACTGGGGTTCTTGATCACCACACTGGCTGCTCCATGCAGGTCAGCATGGACGTAGACATCACGAGGCTTTAGATGTCGCTTAACAACCATTTCGTTCATCTGCATGTCTCGACCAGCAATGACTGTAGTTATTGAACTTCTTTATCAGAACATAAAACTTATGCTTCGGGTTAAAGTACTTAATATATGTTTAACTGACCATTATTTATAGTTGGAAAATTCCCGATATTTTAACCACTTCAATCCGGGTGACACGACCATCACGTCATGAAAATATCTGGCTTGAGAGACGGGTGACATGAACATGCCATTACGGGAAAACCTGGCTGCAGGCCAGGTGATGTGACCTACCATCGGGAGCATTTCGGCTGAAGGCCAGGGTAATGGAAGAGACTTGCCTCAAGTGCACAAACCTCTTGGGAGGCTTTGTGCACTTGGCGCACAAAGCACAAATGAGTCTAATTAGACTCATTTGCCAATTTTGCATTATTCCCATCAATGTAAGAGTGTGGAATGTAATGTCCGTGAGCCATGACTGGAAGAGTGACAGCTCCATGGAGGAAGCCATTTCCATGCTCACCTTTGTATTCTGGCACCATGACCTGGCAAAGCAGGCTGTATTACAGAAAATTAATTATGAAAAACATTGAAAAATGACACAAATAACAAACATTTTTATTCTCCTTGCATTGAGTTGTAGACTACCTAGAGAGATGATATGGAGTCTGAGCAAAGAAAATAGTCTATTACCATATGGATAATTCAAATGGCAAATTTGGACATTGGAAAATGGCAAAAAAGCTAAAGACGCTTATGCATAAAAAGAGGAAATAACATTGCAAATAGGAGGCATAGATTCTTGTCACCGCACACACATGTTCATGTGCACCTGGCCTACAAGCCACGCAGCCAGCAGAGCGGCGACCCACTTAAGCCTAATGCCCAGATTTTTGGGTATGTGATTGCCGCGACGCAACTGGATCTAAGGGGTTAATGTAATCTACCAAATCAGTTTTTTCCCTGTTCAAAGGGAACTCGAGGTACTGACCTGCCTTTGTTTTGAGAATAACCTGCTATTATAGTTACATTATAGAGTTGAAAATCATCTGCATATGCAATTTTGTATTCACTATTATAGATCTTGTTAGAGAAGTATTTAATAAAGTATGTCCAGGAACGCCACATAAAACTAATCTAAAAGAATTCTGACACAAAATGTTCAAAGATCAATACAGTTAGAATGAATATCTCAAGGCATTATGTCTAAAGAGCATGTCAGAGAAATTAAGGTGTTAACTGTATTTTTGTCATCATGTACTCACTATTTTCATCATGATTGCCTTTTTAACTATAACTTAAAAGTCAAGAAACTCTAAAAAAGCTTAACTAACAAGAATATATAGCATAAAGTATATTAAACAACATTTCCTACAGTCTAAAAACTCCACAAATATTCACTTGATACAACATCAAGCATTGAAACCCCAAATAATAACGTATTAAATAAGTGAATAAATATGAAAAACAGAACTCAAAATTGTCTAACCCAGATAATTTTCTGAAGAGATGAACCACAGGAACTTTTCGAACCAATGAACCTTCCGGGCTTTGTTTATGTTGGTAATGGCGGCCACTTCCTTTAGGGTCTGGCGGGTCTTCTTCTCGGCCGACTGCAGTGCCTTGGCTGAAGCACTGATGGTCTTCTGCTCCTTCTTGGCTGCCTGTCGCTTCTGGTCGTAGTAGCTGAGAGGGAGCAGGGGCAGAAGGAGAACTTGATAAAGTTAATGCCCTTAGATTAAAGAAAAGGGACTAGGAGGAAGGGAAAAAGGAGGGAAGAGAAAGAATATATATATTTTTTTATTATAGTAATATCTTTGAAAAATAAACAAATAAAAACTATTACCATCGAGCATTGGCCATTGCTGAGATATCAAGGTCAATCTCCACAGCCATTGGCCGCATCTTGGTCGACTCGTGGCCTTCCTCCCGCTCCTCATCTGAATCCAGGAGGAGGTCATCTTCGTCAAAATCATAGGGATCACTGAAAGAAATCAAATTTGGCAGCTAAATATACTTTAAGAACTAAATATACTTTCTTTAGACTTAATCTACTTTCAAAAACAAATAAAGCAATATAATAAAAGACTCAAATTTCAGAATTCTTTTTAAGAGTACCTAAGAGAAATGACAATAGTGTTTCTCTCCAGCTTTAGCTCCTTGATGGACAGGGCTACTGGGTCACCTCTCGTTTTGGCCTCATCCAGAAGTTCACGGATCTGTCGCCAGTCAATCTGATTGGCAACTAAACTGCGTACAACCAAAATGGCCTTTTCCACCAGGTCTTTGTTCAGTTCTGCAAGAGATTTGCCAATTATTCATCAATTTCATAATATATTTAATAATGAGGCCTTAGTGCCATATTCTTGTCTAAATTCCAGTAAAAAGACCCAGTCACCATGGTGCAAAGCCTAGATGACAGAAGGGTTATAATGTGACTGAACTGAGATGAAAGTGGCACAATTTACACGTCCTCAGCAAGATGGTTTTTTCCACATGACATGACATACATGCCTCTGGAGGGACAGGGTCATACTAGGGTGCTTCATAATACTTTTGGACCAGAATGCCAAAACAGCAATCCTATTATTATGTAGAGGCAAATGTATTTAAGTTGTGGAATATTTTGCTCCTGGCTATAAAACTGTAAAAACTAACACTGTGAAGATATTAATTTTCACTCATATCTTTTGTACAATCATATAGGTATAAGTTGTATATCAACATTTTAGAACTTTAACCCACTTCAGTAACATTCCTCAAACAGCTTTAAATTTTGAGTCACAAAATAAACAATACTTAGAATCTATGGTAAAATGAACAAAATCAAAGAAAAATTAAAGCACATCTCACAAAAATTATATAGGACTGGAAAACTATAGGCCTATGCGTGAAAGCATCAGTCTACTTCGACATTTCTCTCTACAACCCCTTTCCTCATGGTCTTCCCTGCACTCCTTACCTATGAGTTGTCCTTGCAAGATGTTGTTCTTCTGCATGTTGCTCAAGTCTTGCAATCGTTTCATGTGGTCCTGCTTGACATTGGCCAGCTTTTTTAGTGCTTCCTTCTCTTGCTGCATGGCCTTCTGGTCGATCTTAACGGCTTCCATCTTGGAAAAGAATTCATCACAAGCTGTATTGGATGGAATATACGGTTTGAATGGGACTTCTCTATTCTTCAATGCATCAACAGTATTGTAAAGGCATTTGTTAGATGCCATTAACAAATTGCTTATGCTACAGGTAAAAGATTCTTAAAACATTTCATATCAACAATCTTGAAAATAAGAAACTCAATATGTGATCATCTACTTGCCTGAAATTACTCAGAAAGTATATGAACACTATTCACTAAAACATATATGCATGTTCGATGACTGATGATGATTAGTGATGGATGATACTGATGACTGAGAGCTAATAATGACTGATAACTGCTGATGAAATAAAGGAGAATATCCTGCAAACTTAGGACTGACCCATATTGAAAGAAGAAAAGTCCTCATGAGGTCGATTCGCATACTGAGCATAGAGCATAGGTATGAATTCCTCGTAGATTGGCACTTCCTCCACTGTACCATCGGGCTTGGTTCGATTCTCAACTTTCTTGATGATGTAACCCTGTAAATAAGTATATTATGAGAGTAAGAAAAAAACTGAGAAGGAATATGCAAAAAAAATATATTACCTTTATTCATAATGCCTTCTTATATTTATTTATCATCATTACTTAACAATGCCAATGAGAATGACATAAATACATTCTTCAAGGCTATACATTAATGAATAAGGATTATACACCAGTAATTATATATATTTCAAGGCACATATTAAATCCACTTGAATATTCAAATAATTCTGCTCACCTCACAGACAACCAAACAAATTTGACAACTGAACAACAATAGAGAAAGAGGAAGAAAGAGAAAGCTTCTTACCGAAGATTGAGTTCTGTCAGCCCAAGCAGTAACAACTGCTTGTGCTTTGGTGGCTGCCTGGAGTAACTGTGTGAGATCATCGTCTGCCTTCAGGTGTTGGCCAAGTTTTGCACTGGGGGGAAAGCCAGCCTCCAGAAGGTTGTGGTCAATGACACCTCCTCCACAGTCTGTGGTATGATATTGTGTTTAGGGGTTGAGAGGCATTGTTAGTTGTTGAGGCAAGAATTTTAGTCAATTATTACCTCTGCAAAAACTAATAAAACATGCATAAGAAAAGTATGACAGATAAGCATTCCATCTCGCTTTTCTCCTCCCTCCGGCTCTCCACACTCCACACTCCCGCTTCCTCTCTCCCACCTTGTCCCTTAACCTTTCTCCTCCCTCTGTCTCCTTCCATTTCCTCCACTCCCTTCTCCACTCTTCCTTATACATATACTAACATACCTAGCAAAGGGTTGAGTATTTTTTTCAGCGGCGTATTGTCCTTGGCTGATGCAACAGCAGCCTTCAAGCTCTCTAAGGTTGGGGGGTCCTTTGCCCCACGTGCTCTTTCCACCGGATACTTCTCATGGACTGCAAATCTGGCGGGGAAATTAACAGCATTACAAATCAATCGTCTGGTACATAACAAACAGCGATAAACATTAATGATTTCCATAACTCCATTGAAACAGAACCCTGGATAAAATGTAATATAATTAAAGGTAGAAAAGTAACCAACATTTTCTAAATTCAGAGAAACTTCTTTTCATTAACAAATCAAACTCATTAACCTTGATGTTGTTTATGCAGCTTTTTATGCTCAGTTCTTGCTTTTAGTGATCATTTTGCTTTACCACCAGCTATGAACACTTCACTTACAATCTTAGAAATTCAGTAATATGAATGCTGCCAAAGATTTTCAGTGTCATTATTTTTTTGGGCATAAATAACTGCCCTATTTTTTTTTTTTAATGTAGAAAATAAGACTATAATGTTTCTCAATAAAAAGTTGACTCACAAAACAGGGTGCACCTCACAAACTCACAGCTATTATAACAATTGTCACTTTCAGCATTACCTGACATCTTCTCCTTCCTTGCGAGGACGTAGGATATTAAGGATACTGTAGGACTTGTCTGTGAGGACAATATTTCCTCTGTCATACAATTCCACAATAACGTGGTGTTGTGCGTCGCCTGACCCAAAAGTTAGGTCAACTATACGATCAACTCCAAGTTGCTGAACTGACTCAATGCGCTTGTTCTTTAGGTGTTTCCTCAACTGTAATGGGACAGAAAAGGGTGACTTATCACAATACACATGAAGGATCGAAACAATCAGTAAGTTTAACCATACTGGAAGAGTAAAAGTTGCTGCTAGCTGCACAAGAGCACCCACCTTCATGGAGAAACCTGAGGGCGCAGGGCTCTTCGGCCACTCATAGTCAGTAGTGTGAATGCGCGATCCTGACTCCAGGAGGAGGACGCACTTGTTGTCGGGTTTCTGGAGCTTGAGGAGGTAGGTTCTGGCATCAATGTCGTACACCTGCACAACTCTCATGCCCTGGATTCTGTTATTAAAGAAAGATGAATTGATCATTAGATATTAAAATTATTGTTTATACAGGACAATAAAAAGAAAAGATATTTAGATTATTGTTGACTATTGTACAACTAGAATAGATGTTCACATCTATACTCACTCTGAAGTTCAGATAGTCTATTCAAAGTCAAGCAAGTTATGTGACAGAAATTTTTACAATATGTCATCTTGAACTTAGTTTTCTTCCCAATTATACAATTCTTGTCTTTTTGTATTTTTTCTTACATTCACCTGGCCTACTACAAAGAGTACAGAAGAATTAGTGCTTCATTCAACAAAATTAACTTCACATTTTCTGCTCTATGTTCAGGTTAGTACCCTTCACTTTAGCAAGATAAAAGAGATCAACAAACATAAAAATAATCTAAAAAGTTCTTACAAAAGAAAAGGCAGAAAGGAAGAAATGAATGAAGGGAAAAAAGACAGTGGAAAGGAAAGATGGAAAGAGCAAAGGGAGCATTGAAACACAGAGGGAAGGCAAGAAGGAAAGCGACAAGGGAAGAATTCTTTTAATCCCAAAGGAAAGTTATAATTCATATCCTATCAAAGAGTTTAGAAGGACTAGAAAGATCTGTTTCTCCCTTACAATATCTAGAATTTTTCTATATAATACATACATGCTGAAATACTAATCAACTTTACATACTTTTGAACTAGAATAGACAATTAACCTATTGAAATTCAAGATAAAAGTACTAAAGAAAGTTTCTTGTTCCGACCCTTCTACTGCACAGATGAAAGACCAGTGTATGATATGGCTGAAGGCAAGCAGGGCCTAAGCATAACCTTTCCAGGCCAAAGAACATGCCTAAAGCCTAGACCCCTCCTGCGCTGCTCCTTCAACCACAGGAGTCTAACACTTACGGCATCACTTCAGGACATACCCTTGAGAAGCCTTCTGTTTATTCTCTGATAAAAACGTTGAATAATTCTGCTATCCTCAGAATAACTGGTCCCAGGAAAGCAGTAACTACCCCACCCCTGTTCAATGGGCTCAGGATGCAAGGAAACAGATACAGATTTCCAGCGTACCAGAAACTTATATTAAACGTCTACTTACAAACTTTGTTTTTTCTCCCTCTCTTCATGTACCCCTATTTTCACAGAGTTTATCTTCTATACACTCCTCTAAATCTTATCTAATTAATATTTCCAAAATTTCTTTATAATCTAAATGAACCTGTAATTTCTTTGGATTAATTATATTTCACTTTATAATTTCATACTGTTTTGTAAAGACCTCTTCTGAAACAGCAACTATGACTGAACTTTCTGTAACCATAAAATTTCCTGCCTTATAGAACATTTATTTAGAATTTGCCTATGCTATCATTACCTGATATCCAACAATATAACTCTAACTATATCATCCCAATTATTTACAACCATTTGTAATCTATAGGCATTGCTGTGGGAGAGATCACATTTCATTAGGCATCAAAAAGTTTAATCATTAAAGCCTTATTTACTTTCTCTTGTTGAGATACGTGGGCAAAAAGAGGGAGGAGAGTGCCATGTAGTAAATTTGTCCCAAACAATTTTATGCTTGATAGCAATCCAAATTGATCCATTCATATATTCACACTTTATAGGTGAGCATTAAAATGGCATGGGAATATATGTATATATACATATAAGGTGTGGGAGGACAAGACTCATTGTTATAATCACAAAATTTCTTTGAGGGAGAGAACATGATCATTCAATAGCTTGCGACAGTGCAATGGTTTCTCCCTAAAGGAAATTTTGTAATCATAATATTGAGCCTGGAACTCCCACACCTTATATATATACACACACTATCCAGCCCTATAGTAGGTTGTAAAAGCCCATGATACGTAATATCCCTATATCAACGTATAACAAGGAAGAAATACTGATTTTACAATTTTTGTTGAAGTAATTATTTCTAGGAAACTACAACCCTGACATTATACAAGACTTAACTGCATAACCCTAAATGTACGTCAGTGAGATCTTACCTCTGTTTAAGCTCAGCCACAATGGCGAGCAGGTCGACGGTGGTGAACGTCGTCTTCATTGTGCCTTACCCTCCACCTCCTCGACCAAACTGGAACTGTATTATAGAGCATATAATCAGATTAATAACTGCAATTCTTTTTTTTTCTGTAAAAGATTTCAAAACTTGATCACCAGTATTAATAATTTATCATCTGTTTGCTTGCAATGCCTTGTGTGCTTATATAATAGTTTTAAAACTACCTACAGTGATTATACTAGTCCCAATTAACTAAGGTCATGAAACATATCACCAAAAATGCAGGACAAATTAAAAAAAAATCTGTGAATTTTGCTTACAACATGCAAGCAAAGCCTCAAAAGTGATCCTAGGGTCCCTCCCCATATGGAAAGGTCTCCACAGCACAGCAGAGCTCTACGCTTCACAAATGCGAACAAAGAGGCTGTAGCCAAGAAGCTGGCACATTTCATTGAAGTATAGACATCGAGATGAATCACGACAAATTTAAAAGTGACATTTTAAACACACTGATGATTAGCTTTCCTGGGAATACAAAGCAAACCACCCAGCCTGCAAAGCTCACGTTCGAAATCTGCACAAACAATTATAAGCACCTGCGTCCCTGTGCCTGCGACGAGCTCCAAGGCAATCGCTTCGGCCAATTCACTTTGGAGGCAAGGCAAGCAAACCCCTACTGGGCATATGCTTCCAAAAGGAGGAATTAGAGAGACGTACTTTATTTTGCCAAAAATATGGTTGGTACGAATTAGTTAGTTTTGAGAGCGTAAAAATGTCTTTTTTTTTATCTTTTCGTCTTAAATCATTTGCCTCTGAAGCGTTTCTTTTAAGCAGATGGATCGGCTTCCAATTTGTTAATCTCGTCGTAAAAGGGATAGAATTTAATCAACTCTATTGTTACAGCGTCTTCTCCTACATGGACATGTGCAACATAGCAGGAAACATGTGAAACTCGTCTAACATCTGGAAATTAAATAAAAAGAAAAAAACTCTCTGAATAAGTTTTTAAACCCCTCATGAGGCCATTTAAAAAAAAAATCCATGCACAGCTGTTATCAAATAGCTTAATCTTCTGCAACGCCAAGCAGGAATTACAAGTTCCCTCATAATAAAGCTGTTTTCAAAGATCACACAGTTATCCTATCAAAATGACTACAAAAATAATGACATGATCAGGATCTTCACCTTCGGTCCCACTCAGCTAATGTTTTGGTGGCGTCGACTAAAGACAGGTTGTGTATTAGCGTTCTTTCGATTTCTTAAACGAGAGATGTTTCCAATAATATCATTTATGCTATATTTTTAGATATAAACTTAATGATTTTCACTTTTATGATACCTTTTCTTTACCATTTCCCTCATATTACGGTGTTTAAGGAGAGAGTTACATAACCCGAAAGTATTAATGTACTTATCAAATAGATGGCGCGAAAGTTTGAGTTTTCATTCCTACCAAATGTCCTTTGAAATGTACATATGTATGTGTGTGTGTGTGTGTGTGTGTGTGTGTGTGTGTGTGTGTGTGTGTGTGTGTGTGTGTGTGTGTGTGTGTGTGTGTGTGTGTGTGTGTGTGTGTGTGTGTGTGTGTGTGTGTGTGTGTGTGTGTGTGTGTGTGTGTGCGTGTGTGTGTGTGTGTATGTGTGTGAGTGTGCGTGTATGTATGTGTGTGTGTGTGCGTGTATGTATGTGTGTGTGTGTATGTGTGTGTGTGTGCGTGTATGTATGTGTGTATGTGTGTGTGTGTGTATGTGTGTGTGTGTGGGTGTATTATACAAAAAAGTATCCTCTTGGTTTTGGGGGAGGGGGCAAGCCAGAGTCATATAATTTATATGTGTACACGTATACTACACACACACACACACACACACACACACACACACACACACACACACACACACACACGCACGCACACACACACACACACACACACACACACACACACAGACTTCTGAAAGTCTTTCCATTGTCAACATCAGCATGATTAGGGATGTTTTTTTTCCGAATGATCTGCCTATTTATGCTTGATTTAGTTTTTCTTGACTAGTAAGTGCTAGTAGATATCCATTTTCCTAACAGACAGGGCTCAATGAGTAAATAAATATCTTTCAAAGATAAATAGTATCTGGTTTTCTCCTTATATGTTAAAACTTACCAAAAGGCCTTGCTAATGAAATTACTGGCAGATTGTTTTTAGGAAGGTTATAGTTATAGGATTCATTTTGCGAAAATCAAACATGAGGCAGAGGTATGCATTGTTGAAAAGAATGGGAATGAAGGTGGTTCTTGTATTATAAAGCGAAGGAACAAGGCAGAATCTATATTGCAGATTGGACTGTATGGATAGACTTTTGTATTGAAACTTATCACCGAATCCGTGCATGTTATTATCAAAGATTGGGATTTTGTGATGGAGGGATCTTATGAGCAAAAGAAAACCTTTATCCTAAAATCTAACTATAATTTCACATTGAACTGTATATATATATATTTTTTTTTTATCTTGTGTTTATCAGTATTTTCCATTATTACCGAAATGCACAGGAGGGTACTTTCTCTTAATTTTGAAACTGGACTCCTCTTCGACACCGTGTGGCTGGTGTTAATAAATTGCAAACAATACCAGACTTTTTAAAAAAATATTTTGCCTGTAGAATGCTTGAGAGCACGTTGATATCCCAATATCATCAGTCTTTACACAAAAAAAAAAAATATATATATATATATATATATATATATATATATATATATATATATATATATATATATATATATATATATATATATATATATATATATATATATATATATATATATTTTTTTTTTATCTTGTGTTTATCAGTATTTTCCATTATTACCGAAATGCACAGGAGGGTACTTTCTCTTAATTTTGAAACTGGACTCCTCTTCGACACCGTGTGGCTGGTGTTAATAAATTGCAAACAATACCAGACTTTTAAAAAAATATTTTGCCTGTAGAATGCTTGAGAGCACGTTGATATCTCAATATCATCAGTCTTTACACAAAAAAAAAAAATATATATATATATATTTTTTTTTTATCTTGTGTTTATCAGTATTTTCCATTATTACCGAAATGCACAGGAGGGTACTTTCTCTTAATTTTGAAACTGGACTCCTCTTCTTTTTTATCTTGTGTTTATCAGTATTTTTCATTATTACCGAAATGCACAGGAGGGTACTTTCTCTTAATTTTGAAACTGGACTCCTCTTCGACACCGTGTGGCTGGTGTTAATAAATTGCAAACAATACCAGACTTTTAAAAAAATATTTTGCCTGTAGAATGCTTGAGAGCACGTTGATATCCCAATATCATCAGTCTTTACACAAAAAAAAAAAATATATATATATAGTCTCATTTCATGTATGGGGAAAAGAAAATACAGACAATGTCACATGCAGTGCAATGTAAAAAAAAAATGATATTTCCTAGTTCAACGACTCATGAGTTATAGGTGGACACATTTTCGTGACCTCTCGTGATTCAAAAGTGAAACACATACACAGTACACATTTACGGTCGAAGATGGAATACAGTAGTTAAGCGCGCGCAACTGTACTGTTGTGTGTGTGTGTGTGTGTGTGTGTGTGTGTGTGTGTGTGTGTGTGTGTGTGTGTGTGTGTGTGTGTGTGTGTGTATGTGTGTGTGTGTGTGTGTGTGTGTGTGTGTGTGTGCGTGCGTGCATTTCATATATACACCGATAATTATTATTTAAGGGCATATGAAAATAAAATTCAAATAATTACCAACGTCTTTATTGATAAGATTTCCACCACATACAACCAAAACAAGAACAATGTAACAGTAGAGTAGCATAGTCAACACAAAAACATAACAAGGAAGGAACAAAAATCAACAGAGCAAAAACACGTTTAAAAGACACTTTACACCCAGAAGCTATACGTGTGTACTTTACTTCCTTTGTTTATTCTCGTTTTCTTTAACCTATTTACCATAGAACAATAACTATATGAATCAATGGAGTTCACAAATCAGGAAAAAATAATAATGATGAAGAAAGCACATGACATGAACACTGATCAATGAAAACAACCGGTATTTGTAGATACAAAAACAAACACACACAAAAAAAATCACAAATTAGGCGTAATCATTAATTATTTCAACGAAAACTTTTCCAGTCTGGTAGTTTTTTTTTTGTTATTGCTAATCTATTAGAACTTTTGAGTATCTTTTGAGTCATCGGTCGTCATGATACAGCGAAACTTTCTAGTAAAAAGAGTGCTGGAAGTTATCATGGGTAGAATTATTGAACGTAAAGTTTGGAAAATGGAGGATAAGGGAGGGGAACAGGGCAGGGGGGGGGAGGAGAGAGGCTAAAGGAGCTGGGGGGGGAGGGGGAGGGAAAGATTAAAGGGAGTAGGGGAGGGGGGGAAAGGGAGGGGAGGAGGGGGGGGCTAAAGAGAGCTGGGGAGGGAGGGAGGGGGAGACTAAGGGAGTAGGGGAGGGAGGGGAGAGGGAGAGACTAAAGGGAGTTGGGAGGGGATGGGGAAGGGAGTAGGAGAGGGAGGGGAAGAGAGGGGGAGGGAAGACTAAGGGAGTTGGGGAGGGGGGGGAGGGGGAAAGGGAGGGGAGGAGGGGGGGCTTAAAGAGAGCTGGGGAGGGAGGGAGGGGGAGACTAAGGGAGTAGGGGAGGGAGGAGAGAGGGAGAGACTAAAGGGAGTTGGGAGGGGATGGGGAAGGGAGTAGGAGAGGGAGGGGAAGAGAGGGGAGGGAAGACTAAGGGAGTTGGGGAGGGGGGAGGGGGAGGCTAAAGGAAGGGGGAGGGAGGGGAGGCTAAGGGAGCGGGGGAGGGAGGGGAGGGGAGGCTAAGGGGGGAGGGGGGATGGGAGACTAAAGGAGGGGAGAGGGAGGGGGGAGGCTAAGGGAGGGGGGAGGGAGGGGAGGGGAGGGGGGAGGGGGGAGGGGAGGCTAAGGGAGGGGGGAGGGAGGGGAGGCTAAGGGAGCGGGGGAGGGAGGGGAGGGGAGGCTAAGGGGGGAGGGGGGATGGGAGACTAAAGGAGGGGAGAGGGAGGGGGGAGGCTAAGGGAGGGGGGAGGGAGGGGAGGGGAGGGGGGAGGGGGGGAGGGGAGGCTAAGGGAGGGGGGAGGGAGGGGAGGCTAAGGGAGGGGGGAGGGAGGGGAGGCTAAGGGAGGGGGGAGGGAGGGGAGGGGAGGGGGGAGGGGAGGCTAAGGGAGGGGGGAGGGAGGGGAGGGGAGGCTAAGGGAGGGGGAGGGGGGAGGCTAAGGGAGGGGGGAGGGAGGGGAGGCTAAGGGAGGGGGGAGGGAGGGGAGGGGAGGCTAAGGGAGGGGGGAGGGAGGGGAGGGGAGGGGGAGGGGAGGCTAAGGGAGGGGGGAGGGAGGGGAGGGGAGGCTAAGGGAGGGGGGAGGGAGGGGAGGCTAAGGGAGGGGGGAGGGGGGGGAGGGGAGGCTAAGGGAGGGGGAGGGAGGGGGAGGGGGGGAGGCTAAGGGAGGGGAGAGGGAGGGGGGGAGGCTAAGGGAGGGGAGAGGGAGGGGGGGAGGCTAAGGGAGGGGGGAGGGAGGGGAGGCTAAGGGAGGGGGGAGGGGGGAGGGGAGGCTAAGGGAGGGGGAGGGAGAGGGAGGGGGGAGGCTAAGGGAGGGGGGAGGGGGGGAGGGGAGGCTAAGGGAGGGGGGAGGGGGGGGAGGGAGGGGAGGGGAGGCTAAGGGAGGGGGGAGGGGGGAGGGGAGGCTAAGGGAGGGGGGAGGGAGGGGAGGCTAAGGGAGGGGGGAGGGGGGGAGGGGAGGCTAAGGGAGGGGGAGGGGGGGAGGGGGGGAGGCTAAGGGAGGGGAGAGGGAGGGGGGAGGCTAAGGGAGGGGGGAGGGAGGGGAGGCTAAGGGAGGGGGGAGGGGGGGGGAGGGGAGGCTAAGGGAGGGGGAGGGAGAGGGAGGGGGGGAGGCTAAGGGAGGGGGAGGGAGAGGGAGGGGGGGAGGCTAAGGGAGGGGGGAGGGGAGGCTAAGGGAGGGGGGAGTGGGGGAGGGGAGGCTAAGGGAGGGGGAGGGGGGGAGGGGAGGCTAAGGGAGGGGGGAGGGAGGGGAGGGGAGGCTAAGGGAGGGGGGAGGGGGGAGGGGAGGCTAAGGGAGGGGGGAGGGGGGAGGGGAGGCTAAGGGAGGGGGGGGGAGGCTGAGGGAGGGGAGGGGAGGCTAAAGGAGGGGGGGAAGGGGAGGGGAGGCTAAGGGAGGG